CTGGTGCCAACAGAGCCCTGCCACAGCCCAGCTGTTGACACACCACCCGAGCGTCATTCAAATCCCAAACGTCGTCACACACCGTCCCCCAATTGCCGTTGTGGAAGATCTCCACTCTGCCAGAGCAGCTGCTGTCAGAGTTGACCAGTCTCACTGTGGTCATATCTAGTTGAAGTGAAAGCAAAATATCTGTCAACATATGGCAAGAGCAGTATTGAGCAAAAGCCCCATCTCTTCAATGTAACTGAACTTGATTTAATCATTTAGCTTCTTTATTATTTTTATGAACTCTTCCACATCATACTCACTTCACACATGATTCTTCTGAGGTAGAGATGAGAAATTATCTGGAAAATGTGGGGTTCTATGATAGGCAATATTTCATACAATTTATGTAAATTAGGGGTAAAGTAAAAGAGTTTGAGATAAAAAGAATGAAATAAAACTAAGTATAAACATTGACAGATGGAGCTGGGTACATTGGGAGTTGATTCACAGGTTATTGGTCAGGATGATAGAGATATCTAGAAAGTGCTGCAAGGATGACATATTTTTGTAGGCCAACCTGGAAGCTAGCATTTTACTGGTTCCCTGGAGAAAAAGCCAATGTGATTTTGGATTATTGCAGGAAATCAGCTCTGTGGCTAAACCAGTTTATGACACCAACGTCTTCCCAAATGAACACTACATTTATCATTATTTAAATAATAGATGCAATCGGCAGAAGCAAAGACATAACGTCAAGACAACAAAATTACACCACTGTCTCATGACTTCACGCCGCCGCCACCACTGAGCTAAAGGCAGAATATAGTTAAGCATGATGATGATGATCAATTGTCAAATTTAGGCACTTGTTAGCAACTATCTTTTTGAAGAAACGTAAAAGCTTATAATTTCACAAGTGGGATATTTAGACATTTTATGTCATGGAACAAAATGTTAAAATCTCTTAAACACGTGTTAACCACAGACCTTATTTAAGGCATCTCACCAAAAACCCAGTCAAAAATGCCATTGACTTCCATGAGTGCAACTTGTTTTAAGTAGAGCTTTTATCCAATCAGATTTCTCCCCCATGTCGTCTCCAAGTAAAAAAAAATCTGCCCGGATGCCTTCAGAATTACAACTCAATCCCTTTGCAGTTTAGGTAAATGGGGACGATATTGTTGATCGTCGTAGTCTTCAACGAATCAGATTTTTAGTTTGACATGTTGGGCGTATTCTTTGACATGCCCGAGCCTTCTAGCTGGCCAACCAAAGTATGTCATTAACGTGCAGCTTGATTGTTCAGTGGGCAAGCATGACTGTTGTGAAACTAGCTAGCAGAACTTTGTAGCAGAAAGAGTTGAAGTCTAAAGATATGGAAGACGTTTTTATGTGACATTACATTTTTAGCGTTTTGTCATGTTTGGTGGCGACAATCCCAATATCTACTGCCTCTGTCGAGCGGACACTTTCAGGCCTGAAACGCATTAAAACGTATTCAAGAAGTACAACTGGGGAGACTCGACTGTAATCACTGGCGTCCATGAATAGAGGACCTCTTGCTGGAACTGAACTGCATTGATTTACTGTACAACCGTGACATTGAACTCTTTGTAATCAAAGTAAGGAGGATGGACTTTGTCTCTAAATAGTGAACAGCAGCTTTGGTAAGTGAACTGCTTTTTTTACATCTGCAGTATCGTCACTACCCTTTTAAATTTTTTTTATTGTATCGTTTTTATGAAATGGTTAATATTGTTTTCTCTGATGTAAATAATATTTGAATGGCCCCGTGCCCTTGAGTGTGTGACGGAATGCGTGTTTTAGCAACGTAATTTTGCTGGAATGTGCAGAGGCCTGTTGAATCATGTTATTTGAGTTTTATGTTATTCTACCCGCTTTGTCAAATAAATGTACGAGACTGGTTCTTGCGAGTTTGTTCTCGTCATGGTGTTAATTACATTGATTTTGACTATATGCATTGCCCGTTAATGACGAAGCATTCCATCATGCTGTGTAATAGTGAGGTTATTAGGTGGTTCAACTGTAGCAGGAAAGCACTGATGGCCCAAGTATAAAATGCATGGCCTGCCACTGGTTTTAGGACTATTTCTAACAGCACTTTAATTTAACTATACCACTGCATTGTTTGAGACATTGAAATTAATAACCATGTTTTTTTTTCTAAATTCTCCATTCAGTTATATTTGTTCAGAAAAAAATAAATAGTGTAGATGTACAAAGTTACCTCCACAGATGACACCAGCATCCTCAGAATGACTACAGTTGTGGATTCCTAATTCTCTGTGTGTACAGTGTGTTAGTGATGACTCAGTTCCTGAACACTGAAGGTCATCCAGCCAGATTGGTCCACTGCCTTGTCCAAAATGTGCCCTTCCTGGTGCCGACAGAGCCCTGCCACAGCCCAGCTGTTGACAAACCACCTGAGCGTCATTCACATCCCAAACGTCGTCACACACCGTCCCCCAAGTGCCATTGTGGAAGATCTCCACTCTGCCAGAGCAGCTGCTGTCAGAGTTCACCAGTCTCACTGTAGTCATATCTGTTTGAAGTGAAAGCAAAATATCAGCCAACCTTTATTGCATCTGTAGGTTGCAAATTACAGCAATATTGAGCAAAGGCCCCATCTTTTCAATGCAACTTTAATTGATAATTTCGTCATTTAGCTTCATTATCATCAACTCTTACATATTATACTCTCCCTCCACACATGATTCTTCTGAGGAAACGATGATAAATTATCTTGAAAATGTGTGGTTCTATGATCTGCAATAGATGTAAATTCGTGGTGAAATTAATAAGGGATTAAAAGATAAAATGTAACAAAACCAGGTATAAACTGTGACAGATGGAGCTGGTTACATTGAGAGTTGCTGAGGCAAATTTGTAATTCATGATTTTGGGCTATACAAACATAAATTGAAATGATACAGGTTATTGGTCAGGATGCTGAAGATATCTAGAGAGTGTTGCGGGGATGACATTTTGGTAGGCCAAACCGAAAGTTAGCCTGTCACTGGTTCCCTCGACAAAAGGAGTCAAAAAACAGGTTCAGCACGGCGGTGAGAGACGCAAAACAGTACTCTAAGAAACTGCAACACCACCTCTCAGCAAGTGACTCCGCTTCTGTCTGAATGACCTACACCTGGCAAACAAGCTGAACAAGTTTGTTTGCCCCACTGTTGCTTTGGACAATGGGACAGTCTTGAGCCCATCCTCCAGCTACAGACCACCAGGTCCCCCCCTCCCCCAGCTCAGCAGGGGTCCATGCCTCTGTACCACCCATCCATCCCCCCCACCAGTGACAACTATTCCAGAGAGCCGCCATGAGGCTGTTTAAAAGTCAGAACCCCGCAAAGCAGCCGGCCCAGACAGTCTCTCCCTCCACCCGAAAGCATTGTGCTGATCAGCTGTCTCCGGTATTCACAGACATCTTCAACACCTCCCTGGAGACATGCC